CTCTCTCTCCAGCGGGCAGCTGCGGGGGGCGGCACGCCGAAACGGCCGCTTTGAACTTGCTCGGGCCTGTGTGAAACCCGGCACCCCAAAAACCTGCAGTGTCTTGTGTCCGTACCTTTAGGCCCTGTCTGGTGGGGTGAAACGACACTGAAAAATCACCCCGTTATTTTTCGAGGGGCGGCCAGGACCCGAAAAACGTCCTGGGCCGCCCCCCTTTTTTTTTTTTCCGGTTTTTGCCCGACGGTTCCCATGATTACAACATTTACAATTTTACACCCTCACGCTTCTTTACGTTTGGCCGAAGGACCCCTGAACAGCATTCATTACTTCTTCATTGGAGGATTGACTGTGGGCTTGACATTACGTTCTGACTCCCCTCAGATGATGTGCATTTGTTATTCTACTTGAAGGGTGTACTTTTTTCCAAGGTTCTTTTCTGTTGTTAAACTTTTCCACCTTTTTGCATGCTCAGTTTTGCAGCTTTGCTTTGGGATGTGCAGCTGTTTGCAGTTTTGCAACTCGCACTACACTCTGCTTTTTTTTAATGCTTTGCTTCACTTTTGTGGAGCCAATCGTTCTTTCTGCGCAAGCTGTCGAGAATTCGTTTGATAGATCTGAAGCACTGTTGCAACTCGCAATGGTCACCTATATTTACTAACTTACTAAGCTTTTTAGTTTTTTCCTTTCCAAATGGAAAACTGAATGAATTGTGTGCCCTTTTTTATATTGCCACAAGGTCAAAACATCAAGAGAATCTATTGGATACGAGGGGTGCAAGGAGTTTTTTGGGGGCCTCGTCGTGTTCCTGACACAAATTATTCAGCGAATGGAGGAGATCACTGCAGCAAAAGAAAAATCTGGGCGTGATCTGGCAAAGATTCATGCGCTTGTGAAGAATGAAATTGGGTATCAGCTTAGTAGACAGCAATTGAAAGATGAGGTGGATGGTTCACATTCCGTTAAGGCATCGGCAGAAGAGACGCCAGATGAAGGAGGTAGGCATGGCTGACCTGTTTGATCCTCTCAGTTTTTTGTTTGGTATCACCCTACAGGCTATAAGCCTATAACCCATCATATTCTTTTTTTTTTCCATGTTCCTCAAGACAATAGCTTTTTGCCTTCTTTGGTCCTTTTAATAATAATAAAACATTAAGAACAAATGATTACTTGTCGAGGAAAAAAAAAAAAGATAAAAAAGCACTCAGGCAATCGCATGCTGCAGGATGAAAATCACATGACAACAGGAGAGGCTGTTGTTGGACAGGAGAGAGAGAGACATGGGAAGAGGTTGTGACTCGGTGAGGAATGCATGACGGAAGCATATTGTACCTGTAGGTCATTCTTGTACAGCCGGTTAGCTCAGTGGGTAGAGCACCAGTTGGGAGTGTGCATTGTGGCTTGAGGTTGTGGGGTCAAACCCCTGCAGCCTTGCGCATGGACATCGGCGGGTGTTGATCGATGCACTTTCCTTGGTCGTGGCACGGTAAGGACTACAGACACTACCTGAGTCGCCCAAGGGATTTAGTCCAGGATTGTTGTATTCGGGGATCGACTACGAGTAGGGTTGCCTGAGGAAGTTGGCCATAGGTTGATCTGATGATCTCCCCAGTCTGGCATAATGCACATTGGTACCATTTGAGATTGTAGTACACATGGTTGAGACACAGCTGTTACATGATGAAGAGCATGGGTCCAAGTCTGGCTTGGGACTTTGTGGGTGATTTCAAGCACAGATAGGCCTATCATACACAGAACTGCATAACTCTTACACATATACAGCCTACAGTTGCACACACATAGCCTACAGGAACATACACAGCTTACGGGCATACACATAACCTACAGGCACATATACATTGTCTGCAGACACACATAGCCTACAGGAACATACACAGCTTACGGGCATACACATAACCTACAGGCACATATACATTGTCTGCAGACACGCATACATAGCCAATGTGCATATCGGCGTACACACAGCTGATTGGCACACACATAGCCTACAGGCACATTTACAACTCCAGGGGGGTATCCGGTCTCTGCTAGGGGTGTCATAGACTAGATCCGGGCTTGGTGGGGCTATCAGATGTAGTCAGTGATATGCTTGGTAGGGTTCGGGTAGTAGGTGGGGCCAACAGAAATACTGCTTGAGCCTGGCGTCCGAAGTACCTGTGTGACAAGGTTCGCCCGATCATGCTTCAACTGGGGCTGGGTGGGGTTATCTGCCTACCGTCTTCACCCGACTAGAACGCCCGGTCATTATAGCCGTATTTGTTGCACTTTTCAGTCCAGATACAGCTATAATAACCGGCCGTTCTATTCGGGTGAAGACGGTAGCCCTGACCCCTATAACTGCTGTCTGGTCCAAGTCACCCTCTACGATGGTGAGGTGATAGTCCTGAGTGATTAACACTGAGGTAGTACAGTGGGAGTAGGGGTGCACTACGTGAATTCATGAGAAGATGGGTAGGGAGGCGGTCTCACAAAAAAATGTCAGAATAACTAATTGCTGACTGATGACTGTGACCACCGTATGTATGGAATCCGGCCTCTACAACAACCTGGGCATTTAAAAAAAAGAAAAGAGGTCATTCCTTTTCTTTTTTTCTTTTTTTTCTCCCCCCAAAAAAGAGCAATATGGTCCTGGCTCCGTTCTATTCTGGCGAGCAGCAATCTGGTTCTTTTCCACTGGCAAGTCAGAAAATTTATACAAGTAACCCCCCACCACATGGTTCCCCTAATTACGGTTACTAGGACCTCCAACAACATTGATTGCTCCCAAATGGATTGATCTTTCCGACGGTCAGACTATGGGCATGCAGATGTTTATTCCCCTCCCCAGCTACCTCCTACCATCCCCCCCCGAAAACAGACCAGAAACCACCACTCTCTCTCTCTCTCTCTCTCTCTCTCTCTCTCTCTCTCTCTCTCTCTCTCTCTCTCTCTCTCTCTCTCTCTCTCTCTCTCTCTCNCTCTCTCTCTCTCTCTCTCTCTCTCTCTCTCTCTCTCTCTCTCTCTCTCTCTCTCTCTCTCTCTCTCTCTCTCTCTCTCCCCTCCCCCCCTTCCGTGTGTGTGTGTGTGTGTGCCTGTGCAAGGAAATAAGCAATGAGAACAGCAGTAAACCAGATGGGGCATCTCAAATAAGACCAGACATAATTGAGCCAAACTGAAAGCAGAAATCCAAGCAAAATGCTCACCAAATAGGAACGAGCAAAACACCGAAGTCTCTTGGTAAAGAAAGCCCTTCCAAGGCCTCCAATCATCAAGCCCCGTGAATGTACTACTACTACTGACGTCATGAGCGCCCACTCTACCTTCTCTCTCCTACTCGTCTAGCCTAACGTCATGCCATCAATCAATCCATGTGTCGATCACCCAATGCCGCTTGAAGACTCTGATCGAATAGCCTGTCTTCGTCAACACCAGGTACGCACCTTGTTCTCACCACCTTCCCTCTCCCTTCCTTCCCAAGGATCTTCGCACTTCCACCGTCTGGGTATGGCACGTCCTGCCTGGCTATGGCTGGCGCCCACCCTCTTCGTGCTCACTGCCACCGCAGCAGCTTCCTTCCTCGGGCACAGCGCTAAGCAGGCGCTCCAGCAGGCTGCCGCATTGCCTGAATGTCCCAATGTGTCTGGCTGGGCGGCTACGGTACCCTTCTTTTGTGCTGGAGGGCGAGGCTGGAGGGGCCACGAGCAGACTGCACCCTGTCCCAGTATCCTGTGCCCTGGGCCCTTCTGGAAGGCTGCGCAGGTCCAGCCTCTGTCAACAACTTGTGCGATCGGCCTGCCTGCTGGTTACAAAGGCTGCACACTGCACGCAGGTAATCACCTGGGGCCTTTTTCCTGACGCCGCCCTTCACTTAGAGCCGGCTTGCATTTTCCTGGCCCGCCTTCACTTAGGGCAGGCGGGGGCTTTTTCTGCACGGCCGACGGCCTAAATCTTTGCATCTCTCTCTGATCCCTCCAAAAAGGCTGCCTGATAACATATTTTCTGTCTTTTTGTTAGTCATAATATGCCTGATGATATCTTATTACAACTCTAGAACAGATCTAGGCAAGTTCCTCCACATCTCTTTCTTCTGAGATTTCTTGTTTGAACCTTTTCCCTTCTGGGCAGAGTCGTTATGCACCTGAAGGCCATGCTCACACTAGGACTTTATCGACGCAGCTCTGGGCTTGATTGTGTTCAGATGCATCCAGGTAGGCCCATAATTGCAGTCTGATACATTCAGAAATGTGCTAGTGTGAGTATGCCCTGAGTCTCCTGTGCCTTTATTAGCCATGGACCAATCCCAGTGTTCTTAAATCGCAACTTGTCTCCAGACGTAACATCTATCTCAGCCGGAGAAGAAAAGAAAAAAAAACGAAGCCCCATCTATTCTGGGGGCTGGCAGTCCGGTTGTTCTTCACCGCGAAGCTGAAAGACAAAGGCCAAGGGCGAAGAAAACGAGGGGGCAGATAAGAAGAGGAGGGGAAGGGGGGTATCAAGCCTGAGCAGCCTCAGGATCGCCTGCGATGGGGCCAGCGGGGCGCGAATTCGATTGTTGTTCTCCCAAGGGGAGCGCCACCAGGAGGCAGCCACACACCCTGTCATAACCCTCCTACTTGTAGAACTATCGACCGCTAGGAGCCTTGTTATGCCCCTCCCCCCTGAAGAATCCTTTCCCATGGCAGGGCGTGGCGGGGGCATTTGGGAACAATGGCTGGAGGCGGGTATCTGGAGGGTGGCGGACCTGTGGGATGACGGCGAGGCTGACCGGAAACCGCAGGCGAAACTTCTGATCGTGCACAAATAGTATTATTAAACAAGCTATCCCGCAGGAGTGGTTGCAACTGCCAAGAGAAGGGAGCAGAATCCAAGGAGAATGGGTGGTGCTACGGACTGAGCAACTCCCGACGATGGTATTCCAGCTTGAAGCTAAAGTGTATCAAAACTGGTATCGGGCCCAGGCCTGGGACGTGCGGCTAATAGCGGCCCCCGTGGGAGAGCCCCTCAGGCGATGCTTGCAGCGAGATGGTCTGTTGCGGGAAGATATGATCTGTGCGGTTAGTGTCCTCCGTGATCACAAATCGGCAGGAGTGCCTACCTTCAGACCATTTAAGTCCACGCACAGACCACTGGCACAGTCCTTGCCTCTGACCCTTCGCTTTGGACACTGGGACCAGTCATCAGGTTGACATGAAAACGTTAAACAGATCGCTCCTTCCTAAAACAGATGTGCCAGGAGGTTAAGACAAGATGGATAAAAGGGGGGTGGACGTCCCTTCGCACAGTGTCCACCTGGACTGAAACCTCCTGGAACAGAGCATGCTGGCTTCTCAAGCCGCTTCCAAACCAGAAGCAAGCAGGTAACATATGGCTGGCCCTTCATCTCTCACTCCCCATCTTCCAATGGATTGCGGCACACGGCTCGCACCCGGAACAGCAATGCAAGGAGTGCACGGGAGACACGGAATCCTTGATGCATCTTTGGCTGGAATGACCCGCCCAGTTGAGGTTCTGGCAATGGTGGGAAATGGAAATTGGACTGCCGTCACAGATACCCGACACAGGACAATACCACCAGGGATCCTGCTGGGAGCATTTCTCACAGGAACAGCGACTAATGTGCCGGCCGTGTATGCATGGGAACTCATAAGGTCAGCATTCTTGGCCACTGTACGGACCCTCAGAGCAAAGAACCTGCGAACAGGCCGGCCAATATCGTTTCATGCCCTCAGGGCGTCGGTGACAGTGGACATGGAAACTGGCTGACTGGCAACAACGACAACCCACGCAAGACTCGACAGCGGACCGGGAATCACAGCCAGAATCACATGCCGATTCGGGATCACAAACCCCTCCCTCGGAGGAGGACCGACTGCCAGGGGACATGAACCGCCTGGATATCTGCTGATGAACGGTCTGAACACACCTGGTGGAGTATTTACAGCGGATGACCAGGGAAGGATATGCTATTATGCTCCTGGGACGATTGGGGATACTGAAC